CCTGCCTTCGTCGTCCGGAGATGTTCACGGACAAGGCCTCATAACAGGTGACAGAATGCCCTGCCTGCCAGCCGCCCCCGCTCACCCCCGCCCGCCCTCCTCGGAACTGTGACTATTATAAACCAAAAACGTATGCTCTCAATATATATGCAAATGCCGCCCGGTCCCAAGGTGAAGTTCACGGAGCGGCGACGCTGCTCGCCTCTGTTTTGCTCATTTGCAAAAATGTTGAGAGTAACAAAGACCACAGGAAATTGAAAAATTGTTACTAAGTATTAGAAAAAGCAATCATTTTCCCCAGGCGGCCTAATCCTGGGGAAATTGATCTCACCTCGTTTCCTGACATGCGGCGGTGGAAGGAAAACATAAGAGGCCAAAGCCCACCTCGGTGTCGGCTGCTGGAAAATTTGTTTGGTTGCAGATTTTTTTAGTTTTTTTTTTATTTAAACATGAGACTCTCCTGTGTGGCCAACATCAGGTCTTTGTCTCTCTCTCTCTCTCTCTCTCTCTGTTGTGTAACTGTTTTCCCGCCGCTCAGCTGTCTGTTTGTTGTCTAATTTTTGAGGCGGCCGTTATCGTCGTGCTAATTCGACGGCTGCACCTTTGCCTGCAAATACAAATTGGAGTCGACAGCCTGTCTTTTTTTTTATACCGCACTGACCTTTTGTGATGAAACATAATGTACGACGACCTGTGGGGGGGAGGGGGGGGGGCAGACGGCAACACGGTGGAGATTAATTAACCCAGTTAATTCAGACTAAGATTATTGGAACAATTATTACTCCATTATTCAGGGCGCAGACTGATGATCACGTGATTCAGCGCTCAGATAAAAAAAAAATCAGATTGATTAGAACCCAGTGAGTAAATGTCTACAAAACCCTGGTAAAAATGAAATATTCAAACAGGGGTCCTCAACTCCTGGTCTGGGGCCCGGTGCTGGTCCACAGTTTCACTAATTTACACAACATTCACAAGCATCCAGTCATGTTCCTTTACTTTTTTCGTTTAAAGAAAATGTTTCAAAACAACAGGTCATTCAGACTCTGACACTAAAAGACTAAAGTCTAAAAGTTTTATTTCAAAAATTTGATGATCCTCTAACGATGGAGCGGAATTACTGGTCCTCAGTAACGTCTGATACCGACCCACCGGTCGTTGGTCACAATGAAGGTTTAAGACTTCTGGTTTAAACTCATGTGATTCTACCTCTGCATTTTCTTCACTTCACTTCTAGCTACATCCTTGTTTTTTGTTTTTTTTTTGCGTAGCGACCTGGAGACTATCACATCTGACACAGGACACTAAGGTGTATTACACCTCAGGTCAGGTTGTTACAGAATCACATTAGGAGAGAAGCAGCCGCTCACACTCGGGAAATTTCTCTTCTTGTTACTTTTTGAACTCACACACGGCCAAAGACCTACACTAGGTGTCACTGTACAGGAGCTGCAGGAGCCTACGTCAACTTCTGTGGTCGAAACAGTTGACTGTTGTACGTGTTAACTGTACCGAACATTGGTTCTCCACAGACACCACCACACTCCGAGCTGCAGTGGGCGGAGACCTAATATTTACTGTGCAGCCCTGAGATATCGATCGACTCGTCCAACTTTTGGCAGCACAGAAAATGTGTGAAATTGTTTCAAAGTGAAAAGCGCATTTTTTTGCGGCTGCGGTACCCGAGAAATTATGTTAGCCTTGGAAGCTGACACATTTGTTCTGGGTGCCTGACACCGCAGCTCCTCTCGGTGCACGGTGGACGGTTAGCTGGTAGAGATTTCATATGGTTTATTGCTCCCACTTTCACTGGGGTTATTTATTGAACTGCCACGGCGGCCCCTGCTCTGCGGAGCCACCCGTTGTCTCCCCGCCCTTCGCCATGAGAGAGGAACTTATGTCACATGAACAGCCTACTGAGCCTGACTTTAAGTTTTATTAAGAAGCATCATTCATTCATGGGCTGCTGTTCACAATAATACGGCCGCACATGCTAGCACTTCCTGGGACGGCGTTGGCGGCGATACGATGATGGGTTGAGCCACGAGCGGGAGCAGAGAGGAGTCACGGAGGAAACTAGGTTTGGAGTATTCCACTGGCTAAATGAAGAACAAATAAGCAGTTTACAAGACGGTGAAGGAGAGCAGATTATCATCTGCAGATAAAGAGACTGACGGCGTCTCCTATTTGTGAGGTGTTGAGAGACTACTTTTCTTTCTCTCCCCTCCGAGAGGATGAAAAGATTCTTCTGAAGCCAGAAGGGTCCGCTATCATTTTTGGGCAGCTTGAGCGTTAGAGATGTTATTAGCATAAATTATCTCCTCCCCCCCCACCAACACCAAAGAGATAGGAACATGCTAGCTCATTTCAGCTTTTCACACTTAATTGCCCTATTTACTGAACAGTTGCCCACGGACAACAAATGCGAACACACACTCTGAGATGCACGCAGGACAACAGGCAGACACAAGCCAAATAGGGCATGAGTGATACACTCCACTGTGTGGTGGTGGTGGTGGGGAGCAGCGTTAGCTACGGTGCAGCTGGGGAGACGGCCGACAACTCGCAGAACCACAGGTTCACAACGTTGGCGTTGATGCTAACCTTCACGGTTGGAACGATCGAAAACACAGATTCTGTTTTTTTCGTATTAGTTCTGAGCTAAGCTATATTTAGCCTTTGTAGTGATTAGCTCTGTAGCGCGGCTGTGCTCCAGTCTCTCTCACTGCAGCGAGCAGCGAGTGACCCAGTAAGCAAGAGTGAGGTGAATTATACATGGCTTTGCCTAATGGACTCTTAGCTTCACTTTACCTCGCGCCGAGCGAGCGCGGCTTTTTCTGTGTTTTTCTGGTCAGCCTGTGTTTTTTTTTATCTTCTGTCTTTTCTGCTTCATCTGTCGTTTGGCTGTGAAACAGTTCCGTGGACTCAACAGTTCCGGCTGTCTGTGGAGGACTCTCCACTGGAACTGTTTGAAGAGACAAATCAACTAGATTGACTTCTTTCATTCAACCGGCGAGGTCATCTCCACAGCCCTGGAGGGCCATACAGGATGTTAATAAGGCTGAGTGTATCACAGCGCCCCCTCCCTCCCCCGTCGCCCTCCCACCCCCGTCCCCTCAATCTGACTAAAGTGAAGCACTGCCCCTGAAAGGCAGAGAGGGGGCAAACCTTTTTCCTCCAGCCTGGGGGGGTCAGTCACTATAGTAACGTCCCCAGGCAGTGACCACATGTCAGGGGGAATCTGGGGGCCGTAAGGAGAATGGAGCTCCTTCAAGAGGGGGGGGGGGCGGGGGGGGGGGGGGGGGGGGGGGGGAATGGCCGGGGGGTTTCC